ACGGCTATTCGCCGAATAAACCCTAGACCGCCCCCAATTCGAATCGAAACCACTAAAATCTCTCCGATTCGGATCAATTACACGTATGTACCTTACAATCTGGGAACTACAGCCACGATCGTGACTTCTGGATCGCAATTTCGACAAATTACCAGTAACTTTTCTATTCAATTTCGGCTGCCCAGAACCGAAAATTGAAGAACCTCTGTAGCCAGAGCCCGTGATAATTCTACAACATGGTCTCAAGCTCACGGTACAGATTCCAATACAATTGCTGCTACTCATTCTATCTATATTTACACTGATCACAAAATCCACTAATTTTTCTCCCTTTTTTCTTAAAAATTCAAAAAATAAGTACCAAAAACAGAAATTTGTGTTGTATTTTGGTAATTACGGCTCTGTTAATCTCGAAAAAAATTCAGAAAAACAGAGCTCGATCCGACGAAATTCTTGGATTATATAAATTATCAGAATTTAAAGCTAAAATTATTAGAAAAAAAAACACAGAAAGTAGACGTTACTTACAGTTGATCTGCGCCAAGAGTTCGAATGAATTCGAATGCGATGAGAAGAGAGAGAGAGCGTGTTCGACGGGGAAAGTCGGTTGAAACCCGCTGTTATAACCAACGGAAAGGCTAAAGTTAGGTGGGACCTCTATTTGTAATTACATTAATAGCCCTGCTTGTGCCGGGTCATAGGTGCGTATTCGAGATAAGGGTGACGTTTTTAAACGAGGCTAAATTTGTCCTTGTACTATCAGTAGGGTCCCTTGCGGGGACCCACGGTGTCTCGGTCTTCAGAATTAAAAATGTGCAGAAATCAATAAAGCGCGTGTCTGCGGGTTTGATATTTAGATGACGTGGGGGATGAGCATGCTTTGGATGACGTGGAGGATTGGGTAAAAGGCGGGGTTCCAACAGCGACGGAGGAAAATCTATACGGAAACGCGTGCGTGCGAGTAGGTTGAGTGCTTTGACCAGAAATATCTGTCAACAAGTCTTGCACGTTACCGTTAGAATCTAACTTCAGATTTGGGTCAAGAATATTGGGCTTGGAGGCTTCAAAGATTCAAATTCAAACTTGGTTTGGTTAAGGCCTTTTGATGCAATTGGTATTCTCTGGTCTTCAAATAGGGTGGTTTTAATGGGCTCAAACTTAGTAATTTCAATAGGCGGAGTGGCGGAAACGCGGAGGTCCAGAAGTATTCATTTTCACTGGTTAGTGAAATAGGTCTTCATTTCAATTCTCGTCAAAAGGATAATTTGAATCACATTATACTAACTCATTGTGAAGGTTAGCCTATTCTCGCACTCCCTTAATATAGATAATATTATTTGTTAAAAAAAAAAAGGACCAATCAGCATTAAATTGGTATTTAATTATTCGTTCATAGGCACACTCACAAGGGATGTATAGGGTGATTTAGAATCACACCTCTTGTGAGTGGTGTTGTATCTTAGAATTTCTTTTCAAATAAATAGTGGACCTCATATTTTATTTGTTCCTATCTGGTACCGAATATTAGTTGTTTACTTGTGTCATACAAATCCTCATAAGTCTCTTATTGTCCAATTCAGAAATGAAGCACAAGGAAGCTTGGTGGTAAAGACAAATTTGCTTCTAAGTAAAATAAGCAAATTTCATGCTGAATATCGTCACTGATGGCGTAAGCAGTGATTCCATTTACATTCGTACATATGCCAGATTCCACTAAATAATTGTGTATTACATAAAATATGAGTAATAATAAAAAAAGATGAATGATCAAACTCACTCAGCTGCTGCTTGACCCGCGTTTTACGTGGATGTTAATATTATGCATAAACAATTTAAACTTTCGTTTCCAGTCAAGCCACTAGGCTGCTAAAACTCGTCAATAATAATAATATATGTTTAGTTTAAAAAGAAGATCAATGTTTTCTAACACAAAATTATATTGTTTCTTGTCACTTTGTATACGCTTAAACTATGTCCCACTTGGTGGGATAATTTAACCCGTTAATCCAAATTTAGCTGGTTTAATTTAGACTTCATCGTATAAACGTTGTGCATGTACGTCATGCAATTGTAGTTTTGATATCAGAAGGGCAAAGCATGGTACGTCAGCCACGGATTTGAAGTTGGAGGTGTGTTAACAATGAGTAATTCTTTTTTGTTTGATGGTTACTCAGTAATTTGGTGACGCAAATTTACGTGTAATAGTATATGCGACCGGTATGATTCATATTTTTCATGTTTCATGTTAAAATACAATATTCATAAACAGATATGCATGCTATAACATGAGTTGATTGATAACATCACGTTGCGTGGTGGCCATAACATGTTATCTCACTACACTATTGTCAAACGTATTTTGTGATATTTGAAAGGTACAATGTCATCTGGGATTACATATTCTACTGGAGAGTTATGCTTGAAAGTCTTTAGTGATGCAAATTGGGCAGGCGACCCCAATGACAAAAGGTCTACAACAAAGTTTGTTGTTTTATTGGGATCAAATCCAATATCTTGATCTTCCAAGAAGCAACAAACTGTTTCTCGATCATCTACAGAGCCAGAGTATCGGGTCATGTCATCCACTGCAGCTGAACTTGATTGGATTCAACAATTCTTGACCTTTCTACATGTTAAAATATCTAGTGCTACTGTGCTCTTTTGTGATAATTTTGTCAGGCATAGCACTATCTTTTAATCCAGTTCAACATTCTCACCAAGGGTCTCAGTGCCCACACTTTCAAGCACACTGCAGCAATCTCATGCTTGGCTCTCCCAACCATGAGTTTGAGGGAGGGATGATAAAGATAATGTAGAACTTGTATGAACTAGGATTGTGACACTTTTCAAAAGATTAGAAGAGCTAGTTATAGCTGTTTGAATATGCAACTGTAAAGATCCTTGTATAAACACCCTCAGAGTGTAAAAACTTCCTCATTAAGTAAGAAATTCACAAAAACATTCTTTCTCTCTTATCTTCAATTTCTCTTGACTTCTCTCGCTAAATTCTCTGTGTTCAATCTTCTACTTCTTGGTTTATAACTACAATCAACAAATCATCCACTGTTGTAATTTTTTAACCAACTAAGGCTAACCCATTAAGAGTTGGGTTATATGTATAAGTATGAGTAGCTATGTATAGAGTTAAAAACTCTCCAATAAAAAAAATTAAAAAAAAAAAAAAAAGATCACAATTTTGACGGTCGGTTGACTCCTCTTCCCAAGCTGCTTGTGCCTTTATGTTACGAGACAATCGAGGTTTGCCAACAACTAGAAAGATTGGCATTACTTATATTCTGGTAGCTGAAGGTCGAGCGCTCTTAGAAGGTCTTCAAGCTGCGTTGGTTCGGGATTTCCTTTGCTTGGAGGTTGAAACTTGAAAGTGATTCTAAAGTCCGTGTTGATGCCATTAATGGGACCATCTCTCTCCACTGGTGCATAATATTCAAAAATTGTTTGCAGATTTTAGAATATCTCTTTCCATCATATTTATCGTGAAACAAATTTACTAGCCGATGCTCTTGCTAGTGTTGCTCAGTCATCTTCTGATAGTTTGTGTTGGTAGTTGACTCTTTCTCTTCAGGTACGTTCAACTTGGTTTTGGGATTTTTGTGCTTTCCTTGCGCTAGAAGCTTTTCTTTGTAACTTTCCCTTCTTATTGAAAAAAAAAAAAAAGAAAAAAAAAAGTGTGTTCACCAGTGAACTAGTGTTGATTGATGTGAAACTACGTTATGATGAACTCGCATTATCTTGAGTAATGCATTTTGCATTGTATTTATCAACCTAGTAGTTAATTTTCTTGCTATTCCTATTTCATCCCTTAGCGATCGCTTTCCAAACCTCAAGTTTAATGGCTTCACACTTTTACATTCCTACAAATTAACATGGATGGTAAGTGTCGCCGTTCGTTGACATTCATGCTTCTTATTCAACTTTGTCTCTTCAAGACAATGAAGTAGTAATAAGCAGGATCATCAAATTTATATATGCTTCATATAGTGGATCTCAATGCATGCTTGTACGAAAGCTATTTGTGCCCGCATTTGCTCAATAATTTGGCAAAATATATGGCATATGTTCAATGTTAATTGTTCATGACGTAACAAAAGTATGTACTTGGCCTTGTCCAATATGTATGCCAGGTGATCAAGAATCTGAAATGATCATGCATGCTCCACCTTACATAACAGCTAGCTAATCAGTTTAGTCATGCACACGCATCTATTTATATATTTTGTTTAATTATATAGATTTAAGTACATGAGTGGCTTGTAGCTCATTAATTGGTTAACAGTATAGTATTTTCCTTTGCATCTGAGGTGTGAGCTCGACCCCTCCCTCCTCCAATATCGTCCGCATAAAAAAAAAAATATGTGCACTTTTTATCATATATATGTAGTTTCAATATGAATCATCTCTCCCCAATATCGCTAGTAATTAAGTAAGACGTCAAATTTATATCTATATGAATGAAACCTAGTGTTGAATGTGTACCCAAACAAACTTGTTTCGGCACAACGCATATGTTGTCAAATCACTTTGACGTAAGTTACAAATGCACAAAGGTCACTACTACAAAAAACACTTTGCGCGACGAAATAAGTTTGTTGCGCAAAGTACAATTTCGTCGCGCAAAACCTTTCGCGACGAAATTTTGGTCGTGCAAAGCTCGTGAAGATAGGGTTTGCGCGACGAAATATTTCGTCGTGCAAAGATTTTTGTTTTTTAATTTTTTAATTAAATTAATTTAATATTTTGCGCGACAAAATTAATTGTTTGCGCAACGAAATATTTTGTTGCGCAAGGTCTTTGACTTTTTGTTTTATTATTTCTCTTATATTAATTTAATTATATTAATTGTTTGTGCGACGAAATATTTGGTAGCACAAGATTTTTCGAATTTTTACTTTTTTTAATTTAATTTAATTGTATGATTTTATCTTTTTAATCACTTTAATTTAAATTGACATATTCAAAATAAAATTACATATGAAAAATAGTGATCAAATTATCCAATATATATAATATATTCAAATGTACACATAAATTAACAAAGTACAATAATAAAATCTTAATACACGTCTATTGTGGTGGTAGTGGCGGGGGAAATGGTTCGATAGCGTCGTAATCCTCAACTTTAGTCATCAAAGTCTCGACAATTCCCTATAAAAAAACAAACATGGTCAAATAACCAAAAAATAACATAAAATAATACAAAAAAAATTGGCATAATCTCCCCTAAAATTGGTATACCCCAAATCCGACCCCAAACTCCACCCTTCACCCTTTACTCAACCCAAACCCGCACCAAACTCAAAATTAACTCCAAAAACACATTAATGAAAAAATTAAAATTTGAGGAGAATATGCCTTTTGATAAGATTGAGAGTGAGTGAGAATGAGAGGGAGGAGTGAGTGTGAGAGCATTAGAGGAGATAGTGAGAGAGAGATGAGAGAGTGAGTGAGAGTGAGAGTGAGAGATAGTGAAGAGAGAGAGAAGAGATATTAAGTGAGAGGAGTGAGTGTGAGAGAGAGAGTTAGATTTGGGGAGAGGGAAAGAGAGAAGAAAGCTAAGAGAATAGAGAAAGACATTGAGAAAATTGTGGAGGACTTATTTTGGTTTTAAAAACCGTATCACTTTGCGTGACGAAGGATACGAGTTTGCGCGATGAAATATTGGTCGCGTAAAGTCTTAAAAAAAAATCCCACGTCCCATTTTTAGGGCTCGCCCAAATTTTACAGTTTTGCACGATAAAGTGTTGGTCACACAAAAAAAGGATTGGCCGTGCAAAGTTTTGCTTGACAAAGGATTTATCGTGCAAAGTCTTAAAAAAAAAATTTTTTTTTTTAAATTCCCTCATCCCATTTTTGGCTCCCGCCCAAATTTAAGGATTTTGCTCGACAAAATATTGGTTCCTCGCACAAAATTTATAAAAATATTTTTTATAAATAATAAAAAAGAAAATAATTTTATGTTACAATTTAAAATATAATAAATTAAAATAAATAAGGTTTAGGCGACCAAATGTGTATTCATCGCACAAAGAAAATAATAAAAAATAAAGAAATAATTTAGTTAAACAATATAAAATATAAAAATAAATAAAAAATAAGTAAATAGGGTTTAGACGACGAAATATTGAAGTTCGTCGCACAAAGTTTTTTAAAAATAACAAAAATTTATGAAAATATCTATATTTTAAAATTTATAATATAAAATTAAATAAAAATGAAAATAAATTGGTTTAGGTGATGAAATATTTGGATCACATCGCGCAAAGATTTAAAAAAATAATTTTTTTATTTTATTTATTTTTGTAAAGACTTTGTGCGACGAAGTTTAAAGTTTCATCGCTCAAAGTGACTTTGCGTGTCAATGTGTGTTTCATCGCGCAAAATTTCATTGTACAAGACTCACTACTACAAAAGTACCTAGTAGTGTCATTTTAAAAAGCGACAAGAAAAACCCATTCCTGTCAGATATTAAGAAAAAAATCCAACAGAAACTAGTGTAATGGCAAATAGAAGAACTGACAGCGTTCCTAGCATCATGAAAAGACTTTTTCTCTCGGTTAGTTCCCTTAAGCCGCCAAGAAAAAGGAAAGCCTTTACAAATAAAAAAAGGATAATAGTGTCAGATAAAAGTGACATTGAAACTTGCGTCGGATAATAAAAAAAAGCACATTTGTGTCACTCATAACCGACACCACTAACCATTAATAATTAAAATATATAAATAAAAAGCCTATTCCAGTTTTTGATTAAATTAATAAAATAAATAATTAACATAATCTAAAAACACAAACCAATTAACAGAGTTCAAATTTTCAGTAAATCATGGAATATAAACTGAAAACCAACTAACAAAGTCTAGCTTCATAATAAATTATGGATTATAATACAAAAAGCAATTAAGAAAATTCAAGACCAATTAAGCGAAGTTGCAGAAAACTAGGAATTTTCAAATCAAAATATTTCACTTTTGCAGTAATTTTCAAAACAAAACACAATAGAAAAAAAAAATCACTTATGCATTGACTCTAAATCAAAATCTAATATAAAGAAAAAACAAAAACTCAACTCTCAAATTTACCTGATAGAGGCAAAGAAGGTAGAGATTAACATTAAACCCAAGTATCGATTTGTGAAGGAACCTAAAACAACCAATCGAAATTAATCAAACCCAAGTATCGATTTCCATCAATAAAGAGACAGATATACATATGCTCGTTGACGTAGTTGTCGAGATCGGAAAGGATGTCAAAGTTCTAAGGATCCTTGTTGAGTAGCTGCTCCACTGCGACGTCACCTGTTGCTGTAGAACCAATCTCCACCTCCTTTGAAAGCCAAAATCTTTTTAAATTTGTGACCTGAGGAACAAACCCAGAAAGAAAATTTCAAGGATGGGCAAGAATTCCAGAGAAAAATTTAAACATTTTCTGCAAGGATGGTTTTTTTTTCTTCTGGAAAATAAATAGAGAAAAAAGAGATTGAAAGTTTTGAGGAGTAGTGGAAAGAGAGCCATAGGGATGCTTCGAAGGTAGGGTGAGAGCGATGTTGTTTTGAAGGTAGGTGAAGGAGAAAGAAACAAGGAGGGAGAAGCAGCGCACAAAGGAAATGGGGGAAGATAAAGCTTTTATTTAGGGTAAAAAACTAGCGTTGGAAAAGACCGACATCATATATTAATTCCGTCGGTTAAAACTAACACCACCCTATGCCCACTAACATCACTCTGCCCAATTCCACGTGCAAAACTAGCGGGAAAATTCCCGCCCAAATATTTCACGCCAATTCTGTCTGATAAAATCGACATTACGCTATCTGACGCAAGTTTGAAAATATTAAAAAAAAAAACAAAAAGTAAGTCTTGTTGGTTATAAGCGACAGTACTGCCAAGTTTGAAAATATTTAAAAACAAAAAGCAAGTCATGTCGGTTATAAGTGACAGTAATGTCGACATTAAGCTATCCGACTCAAGTTTGAAAATATTTAAAAAACAAAAAGCAAGTCCTGTCGGTTATAAGCGATAGTACTGCTTTGTTATCCAACATCATCTAAACAGGCTGTCGAAAATGTCTTATCCAACAGTACATTGTATAAAACTGCCACCAGTCTCTGACAAAACAAGCCACTTTTGTAGTAATGACTTTTCGCGACGACATGTGTTTCATCGCGCAAGGTTTTTTTTTTTTTTTTACTAGTGGGTGTCGAAAAATTTACCCTCTTTTTTAGTGATCTCGCACAAAACATCAATGGCTAAATTGAGGAAAATCAAAATTGTTAATCTCCAAGGTACAGGTAAAATTTTGAAGACTTGTTAATTTCTATGGATTAAGAAGTTTATCAATTTCAATTATTTGGAAGACCACGAGGGTACAATGTCATATGGTTTTTAAATTCGTAATCGAGTTTGCTTTCCTTAATTATTCTTATTCTTAACATGAACATGAATTAAATAACCCTAATTATATGTAAGCATGAACAAATATACCACCCTAACAAGATAACTACAACGAGTCAATGACATAATCCAAGTACTAAATAAGATCTTATCATATAACTCAAAAATGAAACGCTAACAAGGGCACTTAGTTTATGTGTTACGGGTTGGAATAATCTTCTATACAATTTAGGGCATCAAAACTAGAAAGACATGACACAATTGATTAGTAGCTAAGCTTAGAATCTATTAAGCTCATTATCTCTACAATTTGTGGCTGTAGAGGCCTTTGACAAACACTAATTAATTTGAGAACTTCGTTTTCAACACAAAGCTTCACGCAATTGATATCATCGGTCAGAGATATAAAGGGAATGGGAAAGGGAATAGAAATAAGGGAATGGTAATGGATACATCAATCAGCTCGAAAATGCTTAGTAAAAGAGAAGAGAAAGTGCTTCAAGGTGGTCCAGAGTTGTAAGAACTGGGAAAATCCATGTGGGCTCAATATCTCTGTTTGTACACGGGTCCGGAAATAATGAAATTTGTCTCCGATGGATTAGGTTACCATGTGGTTTTGTCTGTGAGATTATGATGCTTAAGTACGTGTGTGGCCCTAATTGTTCTCTAATTGGTGAAAGTGAAGAGAATGCTTTATTGGATGATCCTGATTAACAAGTTCTTTTGTTTACATAAAAGGAAGCGGTGGACTTTAATACAATCTCTTTGTAAGTTTTGTCTTTTGGCGACGTGTGGGTTTAGGGCTATCAAACTTTTACACTTGATGACACTAGGACGACAATTTGATGGTATTTTTTTTTACTTGCAAGTGAGGATTTTAAGTTCAACTGATCTGAAAGATGAGTTTAATTTATAACAAATTATAGATGATTCATTGTGTGATTTAGCTCAGACCTTCATCTTACATCTCGTATATGTTAGTATATATGTTGATAATTGCGAATGTTATTGTTTGAAAACAGTTATATTTCAAGGTTAACAAATGACGGCTATTAACAATATGCTATATACTAATTAACTGGCTAACAAAACATATGCGTATGCATGCGTGGACCCAAAAAATAATTAAGAAAATTATAGAGATGACACGTGGATTTTTGGATTAAAAGAACAAAATTACTCTCAAGGAACACCTGGATTCCCACGCACATGCGACGGACAATAACTGCTCAATCAAGGAAGAGTCAAAGGTGATCAAAATAGTATTTATTCAAATCTCTCTTATCACTCCTCATCAAATTCTTATTTAAAAGGTAACTCCCAATTTTCTTATTTAATTTAGGATTAATTGTCATGTTAATTATTCACACAATTCCACCATATATGGCCGGCCACTATTCTTCAAATAGGGCGGGCCACTCCCCTATAAATAGCTCTATTATCCCACTAAAAAGCTAAACCATTTGCTACCCACAAACTCCTAAACACATTCTTTTCAACTAATTTTAGCATCGAAGATTCTTCAGCCAAAGCCCCTCATTCATCGTGGGCACATGAGGCTTTTGACCTTAATCTTGGATGTTATTATTTTGTATGTGCATTTTCGTTAAAGGAGAAGACGGAGGAAATTTACATCCAAAGCATGCATGGCATTTTGTGGTAATTTAACCTCGGCTACCTCCTGCTATATTAAACGTTATTGCTTACTATATTCAATGTTATGAAGAAGAAAGAGTTGAAGCTACATAATGTCAAAAGACTAGTTGCATGAAAACTTTGAAAATAAAAGCATTTTGACTCTTCCTCACCGCCCTATATTAGTTTGTTTTCACCAACTTCTGTTCTATACACACTAGAACACCCTTAGGACACAAAAAGAGGCTGTACTAGTTCAAAATCAAATTGTCATCAAAATTTAGAACATATATAAAAATATCCACGTACATATGTATATTCATATAATATTGTATGGTATGCATATACATACAATATTCTACGGTACATATGTATATGCATATATACATATAATATTGTACAATATGGGACTACGAAAATTTTCCAACGACAATGCAATTGTTTTTAAAGCGCGCTTGTATGTCAATGATAATATTACGTTCAAACTCATACCCACAATCTTAAATACTTAGATTAATATGTCAAAAATTGAGTTATACCAGAACATGAATTTTTATTTGTACCTTTAACATATGTTAATATAAGATTTATTCATTTCAATCTTATCATCGAGACCAAGCGAGACTTAAACGTTTAACATCAAATTAGTTAACCTTTAGTGATGAGTAACGAACAAATGGGCAGTTCGAACCATCGATCACATCTCTTTTTGTTCTTGTCAAATTAAATGAATCTCTCTATTTTTAAGGTTCTATTTATGCCTGAATCATATGGATACATTTGCTCCTTTTAGGTTTTAGGTGGATTGTACAATAGCCAACGGAAGAACAAAGGACACCACCGACGCCCGCGATAAGAGGCAGTCAAGGTGCAAGCCAAATTGGTCTCAAATCCTGACTGAGAAGTCGTAGATAGTCTACTCTCGAAGGGGGACCCACTCATAAGAGATTTTTTTGTGTGTTGAAACACGATGTTGTATACCAAATGTCATAATATAAGTAGTTGAATATTTGAAAAAAAAAATATTACTGCTTGTATTGTAACACTTAGGTGTACATTGTTGTCTAGCGCCGCAAATTTTCCCACTCATAAAAGCTTTGCGTTGAACTAAAAGGGGAAAAATTGGAAATCAACGTGGCGGAAGATAAGTCTCCAAGACCATTTGTGATTGTGGAGTCCAGTTGTACATTCAATTTAGCGAGTCCCCCATACCGTATGCACACCGTATGTGCATCGTATAAACATATACATATAGGTTTTTATGTATGTATAGGTCATACGTGCACTGGTTTTGTAGGGGCAGTTTCAAGGGTTGCGGCTCTCAGTGCTTCTGTCCCAGGAAGCATATGTATAGGTCAGTCCACAGTAATTTGAACTTTTAAAATTTAATCAAATGGTAAAAAATTATTATAACATTTAAAAAATTTTACCAATTTTTTTATTTTTTAACCGTTAAATTAAATTTCGAAATCAGTTAATTCGTGAGCTTTGAAAGAAGAGATCCGAAAATAATCTCTTTTCCTTGGCCATAAATCACAAGGCACCATACTTCCTGTGCATATGTAACACGTGGCAGGTCCTCAACCCCGTCACCGACCGGGACCACTGTGGTGGCTTCTCTTATGGGCACGCGGCGTACAAGAATTCCCGCCGCCATACACCCTATTTCTCTTTCTCGTAGTCTACCATTCCATCACGTTTTATTTGGACTTTTTTTCATCTTTGCACGTGCCAACCTATATTTAATAGCCCTCCAATTAGGATTTGTTTTCTTTCTTCTAAAGAATACAAATTCTTCATGTTTTTATTTTTCCACAGTGGAATTTTGTTGGATTTGAGTAGGTATCTTAATGATATTAAGTAATCGAATAGATCTCATAAAAAAATTTATGACGATACGCAAAAGAGACAACTAGACGTGTTGTTCTATTGCAATAAATATAAACATATGAAACCACTTCAAATCTTAATAATTGATTTGCCTACCTTCAAAAACAAGACATTTTTAAATTGACCTTCGATAAACTGGCCATAAACATGTCAATAAGCCTTTTTAAAAATCTTTCAACTCCGACCTAGAAGTGAAAATATACATTGATGTTATTTGAGCCTTCTTCT